ACTGCAAACTAGTCATAGTACTCTTTTTTCTGCATCTTTGGATATGTCAAACACTGTCAGACAACAACTGGTTGCTGAGATGGAGCTTCCACAAAAAGGGCACGAAAAATTGTTTAAAACTCTTATTCTTTTCCCATGAGGAGGTACTAGTAGCTAGTAGTATTAGTACTAATACCATTATTTCGTTAAATCAATAACAAGAAATGCAATATTGCCAAGACACTGTCACCAATATTCCCACCAAGAACACCACCAAGAAGAACACATGCYAGCAGCAGGCACCAGTGGTGGAAATATTGCTTGCCAACATGAACACCACCACAGCCACCAGCCTGCTTCTTGTTGTCAGGAAGGGGAAACAATGCTGCCATAATCACCAGTGCAACAACAACTGTCTTGTGATGACAACAATCTCATGTGCATTATGATATGCAGATAAGTAAAACTACTAGTAGTACTGCTAGTAATGCTGAACAGATGCTGGTGAACAGCCCAGATTTCAATGATACTATTAAGAATAAGTACTATGAGGATGAGGACAAGCCGCAGGTAGTAATTGCCGGTTGTGGTACAGAAGAATACAGTACTAGTAGTGTGCTGCAGATTTTATTCTAGGAATTGAAAACCATGTGTAGTATCTACTAATAGTAGTACTTCTAGTACTAGCTAGTACCATTGTTCCCACCACAATTCTTGTAGCTTCATGGTTGATAATTTTCGCTTCCACTTGGAGATATCATATTGGACATATCTTGCTGTTCGCTGGGTCACGATTGATCACTGGGACACTTTCTATAAAAAATACGCCTCAAAAACTTCGATCCAGTGGCAGGCGCGCTACGAGTACGCTACGGGTCGATGCTTACGGTACGGAATGAGAACCGAAACGAATGAATGAAAGGCAATCAGCCCCGTTTTTCCTTCGTGATTTCTGTTTGTGTTTCTGTTTCCCGAGAGAGCCGTGTTTTAGGAGAGAGAAGACGAACTGAACGCCCTGAGCCGGATGGCCAACCCGAGCACCACCGCACAAAAAGAATGCATGCTTCGAAAACGGCACCGGCGTTGAGACGAAGCGGTTCGTTGCTATTCCACCAGTTTTCCCACACAATCCCACCACCACCACCAGCAACTTCCAAAACGCCCTTAACACAGCTTGCACCCAAACGCAGCAGCAGCAGCAGCGGCAAGAACACCACCAACACTAACACCAACACTTCCAGCCACCACCTGTACCCACACCGCTTGCTCACGTCCTCCACCACCGCATCCACTACAACCATGGCGAGCCAACAGCAACAGCACCTGGGRGGAAGGATCCTAAAGGCAAAACCCGCCGGGCCGATGGGACTGAAGCAGCTCTTCGAGGAGGACTCRTGCACCTACACGTACCTGCTCTGGGACCTTTCCACCAAGGACGCGATCCTCGTCGATCCCGTCGACGTGAAAGTCGACCGGGACCTCTCCGAGGCAGAAGYCCTCGGCCTGAACCTGGTCTGGGCCGCCAACACCCACGCCCACGCCGACCACGTGACGGGAACGGGCCTGCTGAAGCAGCGCGTAAGGGGCCTGAAGAGCGTCATCTCGGAGGCCTCGGGGGCYYTGGCCGACGCCAARATCTCCCACGGCGACCGCATTTCCTTTGGGAACCGCTGGGTGGGCGTGCTGGCGACCCCCGGCCACACGGAGGGGTGCGTCTCCCTTGTGGCGGACGACGGCTCCTTTGTCCTGACGGGGGACGCCCTCCTGGTGCAGGGGTGCGGCCGGACCGACTTTCAGGGGGGSTGCYCYRACACCCTCTACGGGTCGGTCCACGACCAGCTCTTTTCGCTGGGGGACGAAACGGTGGTCTACCCGGCCCACGACTACAAGGGCCGGACCCACTCCACGATCGGGGCGGAGAGGGAGAAAAATCCCCGGCTCGGAAGGGASAAGTCCAGGGAGGAATTTGTGGAGATTATGAAGAACCTGAACCTGTCGTACCCGAAAAAGATCGACGTGGCCGTGCCGGCCAACATGCGGTGCGGGGTTCCGGACGCTGCCGAGTGAGCGAGCGAGCGAGCAAGCGAGCTTGTGCGAAAGCATCCCCTGGTTGTTGGGGCTCTGGTGTTACATCTGGCGCTGCGAAACGCTGCTGCCCGCGCAAGTGCGGAGAGCGAAACACGAAAGAGGCAGATTTTCGCCGATATGTGTTGTACCCTAGTAGCAAAATAATGYCATACAATTGTTTGAGTTGGAGCTAGCTAGATTTTATATCTACATGATGACTTGATACAAAAACCCTGGCATCGATTGCTCTGGCATTTCTTCGGTTGTGGTGTTTCCGCACCACTAGGATTGTATTGATTAGATTCGTTCGGGCTGCCTTTCGTTCGCGGTTTCCAACGCCCTWCGCACGGTTTGGATCTCGCCTGCTACGGCGACGCCTCCACCTTTAGCCGCTTCACCGCCGATTCGCCACCGCCCTCGTCTTCCGTGTCGTCCCCGTCGTCGTCCCCGGTGACGGAGGGAGACACGTTGCTCGCGCCCTCGATCCGGTCCGAGGAAACGCTCTCGCTTTCCGCCGCCTCGGCGAGTTTCTTCATGGCCCTCTCCTTCTTGAGGCGGATCTGCTCCTTTTCCATCTCCCACAGCTTGTCGTCCAGGTCGGCAAACTGCTCCCAGTTGTCCGGCCGGTCCTCGGGGTACAGGTACTTGTAGAAGCGGGGCCGGAGGTAGAACATAAAGGCACGGACCTTCCGGCCGGTCATGTCCACGCAGGCGGGGGGCTCCTTGCAGGTGATTTCCCCCAGCTTGAGGGTCACCTGGCGGATCGACGTCTCGGGGTAGTCCTCCGCAAACTTGTTGATGAGCTTCATGCGCTCGCCGGTGCCGTAGGGGCCGATCCGCCGGCAGAAATCGGGAAAGGCCTCGTCCGGGATCGACATGCGCTTGTTGCCCTGGGACGTGACCCGGGGCTTCATCCCGTTGGCCGTCATCATCATCTTGGGGCTCTTCTTCTTGGAGGAAGGAGCGGGCTTGGATTTCTTGGCGGTGCGGTCGTCGSTTTCGCTCGGYTCGGTCTTGCGCTTTTTGCTRCCACCGTTGCTCGAGGACGACTTGTTTTCCTTCTTGGAAACGGCCGTGGAGGTGGTGATCATGCCCGGTATGATGTTGGCGGTGGACTTGCCCATTTTCTTCAAAACAGTCTTGGTTTCGTTGCGGAGGAGTCTCTGTCGTTCTTCCAGCCGTTTCACGCAGAGTCTTCGAAGGGTTCCCTTGTTCACGCAGTTCTCGCACTGGCCACACTCGGGAATCGAGAGAATGTGCCTGTTGAACCGCGCCTCGAGTTTTCCGCTCTCGAGGTCGGGCAGTACCTCGAAGGTGTTTTCTCCCCCGGCGGTGGTGAATTTCGTTCCTCCCTTTAGATTGATGTTGCTAAAGTTGACGTACTGGTCACCACGGATGATTCCTCGCCGGGTTTCCTCCGCCATGAGAAGGCATCGATTGACCTGGCCCTCGATTTCTTGCAAGCGCCGCACGCACTGTTCTTTTTCTTTTTGGCGCTCCAGGTARATCGTCTTTGTTTCTGCGTCAAACATGTCGATTTTCGGCGGCTCTTCGCCCTGCAGCTCGTTGGTCCGCGCATCTATTTCGTACTTTTCCATGACCTTGATGGAATCCAGGGCCTTCTGCGCAGCGATCGCACTGGTCGGTCGAAACTTCTCGAGGGCCTTCTCGCGTGCCTCTAGTTCGCGCTCCACCTGYCKGATGCGATAGTCTGCCCGCTTTGTGATCATCGCCGTGGTCATCCCCTGAACGGTGTGCTGGAATTTCAGTTTCCTGTCTTTGCGGAGGTCCTCCCTCACCCTGTCCCAGTTCCCGTAGCCCCCGGCATCGACGGCACACAGAAGCGCACGGTCTTGTTCGAGGGCAAAGTGAGTCGTTCCCTTGTTGGCAAAGACCAGGTTCTGTCGCGGATTCTCAAACGTCGACACAAACTTCTTGAGCGTCTGCGTCAGCTTTTTCTGCTTTTCGAGTTTCTTCTCTCCTCGTTCAATCATGTTTGTGAAGCGTTCCCATTCCGACTTGAGTTCGGTGGGGCCGTACTTCCAGAACGCAACGCTGTAGGGCCGAACCTGCTCTTCCGACATGTCCAGTTCTGCTGCAATGCTGGCAATGTCGTCTCGTCCGTACTTGCCATTGCATTTCACAAAATGGAAGAACTGACTCCGGCTCCAATTTCCGAAGCCCTCGTCCAGCAGTTCGCATTTTTCTTCGTTCAACTCATCGGGCAAAAGACTTCTTACTCTCTCAATGTACTCTTTCGACGGCAGTTTTCTGGCCTCTCGGAGTGTTGCATACGTTTCAAACTCWAGTTTGCCCAGCTCCAGCAGTCGCTCACGGTTGTAAAAYTGGTGGTCCTCCATCTGTGGYAGACGCAGTGTTCTAGGGAGTTTGATTTTTGCGTTATTGATGACCATGGATTTCTTTTGGTGCATGATGGGATTGTAATCVGTTGGGGGCGGTCTTCGCTCGCGCTTGCCCATCGAATTTGCTGCCAGCAGCCTCAATTGTTCTCGCAGTTCCCGGTCGCTGTAATCAACACCCTCAAAGGTTTGGGCGGAAACACCTCCGTCGAGACGAAAGTCCATCAAATCTCCCTTTTCGGCGTTTTGGATCTTTTCCTGGAGCTCCTTGGTTTTGGCCATTCCTCGTTCCAGAATCACATCAATGTCCTCGTCGGTAATGGTAGATTCTTCAGATCGAAAGACCTTATCGGCTCCAAATCGGACCGCAGCCAAGATCTCCTCTTTGGACACCTTGTCTTTCTCTTTCAGACGGCCTTGCTGGACAACCATGGCATCGAGTTTGAGTTTCTGYTGAGCCCGCTCCACAATCTTTTCTTCTATWGTGTTTTCRCTGACCAGACGGTACACACTGACGGGCTTCTTCTGACCCAATCGGTGGCACCTGTCCTGGGCTTGYAAATCCTGCTGTGGATTCCAATCCGAATCGTACAGGATACAAATGTCGGCTGTTTGGAGATTGATTCCGAGCCCTCCTGCGCGGGTCGACAAAATGAAACAAAAYTTTTCGCTATTCGGTGCATTGAACGCATCGATGGAATYCTCTCTGTCTTCGTGGGTCGTATTTCCGTCGATYCGACAATATTTGTAACCTCTCATKACCATAAAATCTTCCAGAATATCTAGAACGCGAGTCATCTGCGTGAAGATAAGGACGCGGCTCTCTCTTTCCTTCAGGCGTTTYAARAGTTTGTCGACCATRAAGAGTTTTCCGCAATTCTGGACCAAGTGCTCCCCCAGTGGATCGAGCGTGCGGTCTTCGACGCCCTCAAACAAATAGGGGTGCCCRCAACATTTTCGAAGCTGCATGACAATGTTCAAAACTGCCGTTCGATTCTTGGCCTGGTTTCCAGTAAATGCATCCAAGTCTCGGAGGAGCAACTTTTTATACAGTTGCTTCTGCATTTTGGACATTCCAACCATCACAATGGTTTCTGTTTTCGGCGGAAGACCCTTTGCGACATCGGCCTTSAGTCGACGTAGCATAAAGGGACGCAGAATCTTGTGCAGCTGGGTGATCATATTCTTCTTGGAGTCTTCGTCGTCGATTTCTAAATTGAACCATTCGTCGAATTGTTCCGCCGAAGAAAAGATATCGGGGAGCAAAAAGTTCAACAGGGCCCACAGCTCGTGGAGGTTGTTTTGGAGCGGTGTCCCTGTTAGCAACAACCGGTTCGCGGTGGAAAAACTGCGAACCGTCGTACTGAACATACTAGCGTCATTCTTGAGACGATGGGCTATAAGGTGGTTTGAAAAAGCACAGAAAGAGTTCGACCGTTAGTTCTGGAAAATTGGAACGTGCTCGAAGCTCAAAACAAAACGCGTTTCTGATATCCAGTTGACTCGTCGGCGGTGAACGTAGCAGTACAATTTTGAAAAAAAAGAACAAAAATCACCAAACCTACCTTCGTCGATGACCAGATACTTCCAGGCAAATTTTTGGAGTGTTTTTCGTTCCGTGTTGCACATTTCATACGTCGTTACGCAAACATCCCACTGCCGGGGATTGTCGGAATTGTCGTCTACGAGCTCTCCGTGTTCGTTCATGATTTGCTTGTCGGGGCGTTTTCCGTCGTGGGATGCCGCCTTGGCGTGAAAATATTCTTCGATCATGTATTCGCGATCTTCCCGGGATCCRTGGAAACGTATTGTTCGGAGGKCCGGGCACCAYCGCTTCAATTCGTTCATCCAGTTGGAAAGGGTGGATTTCGGAACGCAGATCAGGTGCGGCCCCTGAATACGAAGGTATTCCCAGTGATAGGCTAGGATAGAAATGGACTGGAGGGTCTTTCCRAGGCCCATCTATTGTCGGAGTTTATGACATGTAGTGATGCATCAGAGAACACAATTCAAAAACGAGGGAAAAAAGAAAGCTGAGAAAAGAAGAAAAAGCGACTTGTGACATGGCTATCTCAACGAACAAAAGAAGGCGGCATCGTGTTCGTATCGTTCATTTGGTCGCTTCTCGTCATCCAGCYCACGTACCTCGTCCGCTAAAATTCCATTCAGGCCCTTCTCGGCCAAATGAATCATCCAATTGAGGGACTCCATTTGATAGGGCTTGAGCTTGCCAAACTTAATGCAACTCGGTTGCTTTGTCAAGAAAACATGCTGGTCTCCGTCTCCTCCGTCGTCTTCGTCGTTTATTTCTTCATCGGCAMTATCGGCGTCGTGCACGTGGTGAGGCTTGTTGTTTCCTTTGGAACGTTTCTGTCTCTTCTTCGATGCATTGGCTTCGGCCTCGGCGTCCGTGGCTTCCTCCATGGACCCCTCACCCTGGCGGAGCTTGGCAAAGATGGGGGACTGCTTGAACAAATATTCGAGTCGGTTCGCTGCCTTCTTTTGGCGTTCCCTGTCGAGTTTGTCGTGCTGCTTCGCAAGGGCCTTTTCTTGTTCGGCCCGTTGCCTGCGGCGTTCCTCGGTCTCTCGTTTCTTTTCGGCCTCGGCCAATCGTCGGCGCTCCCGCTCGTCGTCGTCCATTTCTTCTTCCAGGCGTATCCGGCGGCGTTCTTTGTCGGCCTCCCGTTCCCGGCGTTCCCTGTCCAGTTTTTGGCGGGCTCCCCGGCTCCCCGCGGTCTCGCCCTCCTGGACCACCAGRGCGGCGCGTCGTTTTTCTTGGAGCGCCAGGCGTTCCTGGTCGGCCTTGGCCGATTCCATCTCGAAGCGTTCGCGGTCGGCTCGTTCCGAGGCAAAGTACGACGATTTTTCGCTGTCGTTCATCGCTCTCCATCGAGCGGCAAGCTGTACATTTTGCGTCAACGGTTCGGTTCGGTTCGATTCGATTTGATTTGATTCGATTGTCGTTTTGTTGCATTGGATTTTGGTATTCGGAGGACGCCGATCCATTGAAACGAAAGCGCACCCAAAAAAATAAAAGTGTGAGCAAACCGCRGCTTTATACATGAGAATGATCCGAGTCTTCACCTCATCATTGGCTTWGGTGGATTGGCCGATTTGTTTCGATCGGTTGATTTCGAAGTGCATTGATCCAAATCGGACCATTGAATCATCCAACACTCACCTCCGTCATGGCTTCTCCCATCGCAAGTCCCTTCTCTTTCCGAATCTTTGACAATTGGTCTCCTTGGAAAAACAGAAAGGCCGACTTGGCCTTTTTGATTTGCGGTGCCATTTTGATCGTGGTGTGGCGTGTATATTATTCTGGTCCTGTGTTCTGTTTCTATTATTTTGCTCTTGGGCAATTTGTTCGAAAGTTATTGGTGGCGATAGAAATRAAAGGAGTAATGCAGTGTTCCTGAATCTTTGGTCTCGCCGCTCTCGGTGCTAAATCTGTTGCTGGTTGTGGTTTCGTTCGCAATGATGTACAATTCCGTAGCACGATGSAGTTTAATATGGATTTACCGTGGATTGGTTTTCAACAGAGGCGCTTTGGTCCAGCTCGTTTGTTCCCGCTGAATTGGTTCCGTTTGATGCAGTAATGCAATACGCAATGGCACGAACACGATCCAATTCGATCCGATGAAATGCTATGAAGGAGGTGTTTGGATTGGCGCTTCGTTCTCGAGATGTTACTGCAAGACAAGATTCACAGAGACCAGAGCGTGGGTTGGTAATACAAACTATCCGATTTCGTTGTGGACAAAATATTCTGTGTTCAAACACACGAGGTTGCTCAGTGCGTGTTGTTATGGATGAATGKCTATGTGTCTTCGCTGGTAAGCTGCAATAGAACTCTAGGCAATGCGATACGGTACGTCTGTTGTTACATGCAATTATAGRCGTTGTTCATCTTCGAAGACTTTCTTTAATTATTTGATTTGTATGTTTGGGTGTGTGCATGTATGTACCGTGTGTGTAAGTTGTATGTTGTATGACGCTTACTTTAGGAAGTTGAAGGGTTGGAAAAACTCAGGGATCCTCCGTCTTCCCCAACGGCGATTGGGAGAGACGAAATAAATACCAGCAGGGGTTTGGCAACCACCACATGATTGTGTCTCACGAACGGAGGGAATAAAGATGCGGTAGCGCTTCGGTTTGTTCCAACGTCCAATTTTTTGTTCGACTGAAACACACACTCTCCCTTCTTCACCTTTTATCCTCGAGAAATGACGAATGCTCTCATGCCAAAAGCTGTCAAAAAAACTCAGGCTGCTCCTACGGTAGCGAGCATAAGTAGGTAGCATGCATCCATCTACCCTCTATTTCTATCGGTTTGTTTTCAACAACCAGGGCATAGACAAAACTTATGACATATTTAAAAGTCTAGAAATTATGATCATGCGGTCTGTCCTCGTATGTTAAAATCGTATAAATTATGTGKTATAATTATGCGATGATTTGAGAAAGCAGAAAAAAACGTAATAAAAAAACTATTTTAACGGATGATGTTCAGACTACATAACCATTAAAATACGAACCCGACGAAGTTCTTAACACTCGCAGTGTGGAGAATGACGGAGCACAAAGAATGTGCAACGACCAATGAGAACGTTTTAAAGATGCAGAAATGGCAAAAAGGGGAAAATACCCGTACGCACTGTACAAATCCATTTRCCGTACCGTACAGTACCGTATTTTCATGGTGCTTCGCTGTTGTGTTGTTCCGATAGTATAGCGGCAGCCCTCAGAGACCTCGCAACCCSTTGGTTTTAGGTTTACAGTAAAGCATGTTCAAGCTCAGTACGAGGTCTCTCTGTTTTCGCGCGCGCGCGTARATTCAATCGAAAATGACCAAAACGGTGATGATTGTTTCACTGCAGTATGAAAACACATACGGTACCTAGTACCGTACGTAGGACAGCACTTGCTGTAGTTCATTAGTWGTAATCGTACTTCGTACTGTAGCCTGTCATAATACGTACTGTAATACGTACTTTCAGTATCGTAGATAAGTACGASCCCATCCTGCACGGCGCACGGCACAATGTCGAAGACAACTTTTCTCCTACCGTACGGTACGTACGGAGACAGACATCGCCTTTGGTACTTTAAGAGCGTTCATAGATAGCCAATGCTAGTTAGTTCTAAGCGAAAACAGGTTTCTTCAATGCATCATGCTATGAGTGCAATAGSAATAGTAGTACTAGTAGAAAGAGAACATGAAGAATATGACAAATCTATAACTAGCCATGTATATTTTTCTCTCTGTTGACAGGTCCCGGAAAGCAAACTGTTTGTCGTTCAAAAGACCGCTCGAGSCGTTTGTTGTTTTTGTTCTATGTGGCCCGKGGGCTCGAGCAGTGCTCCATCCTCAGCCGCTCGTAGCGCTTCAKTTCTTCCTCCGATACGCTCGGAGACACCTCCGCGGAGGCCAGCAGCAGGTCGTCCAGGGTGACGACGGGGGTGCACTTTTCCTCGCCCCATTCTTCCAGGATCCGATCGATCGWAACGCCACCGCCTCGTTCGTCYCGTGCCCGGTCGGCCTCGAGGCACAACCGCCGGATCGCGTGGAGCATGGCCCCGCTCGAGAGCTTGGACATGTCGGCTCCCGTCAGCCTCGGCGGCAACCGCTCCACCACGGAGCCGGCCAGGTCCATTGGGTCGGCTTCGAGCTTCATCTTTCGGAGCTGGGACGCGAGCACCCTCGTCCGTTCCCCGTGGTCGGTGGGGATGCCCATGTACACCAGACGGTCCAGCCGACCGGGGCGCAGCAGGGACGGATCCAGGAGATCGGGGCGGTTGGTGGCGCCCAGGACAAAGACCCGGCCGTTCTGCGGCGGGGAGCCGGAGCTGCCGCCGTCCAGTTCCGCCAGAAGCGAGGCGACCACCCGTTCCATGACGCCCCCGCCGTGGTCCGTTTCCCCCCGGCGGGGTGCGAGGCTGTCCATTTCGTCAAAGAACAGGATCGAGGCCGCGATGGGGAGGTTGTTCGAGGCGGCCAGGCGTGCGGACGCAAAGACCCTGCGAATGTTGGCCTCGCTCTCGCCGACGTAGCTTCCCAGGAGCTCGGGGCCCTTGACGGACAGAAAGGGCAGGCCGCACTCGTTTGCGACGGCCTTGGCCACCAGCGTCTTTCCCGTTCCGGGCGGGCCAAACAGGAGTATTCCGGAGCGACCGGTGTTCCGGGGAAAGAGGCGGGGGTGCTTCAGTGGCAGTTCGATGGCGTCCATGATCTCCGCTCGGACATGGTCCAGTCCCCCCACGTCTTGCCAGGACACGTTTGAAATCAATGAAACATCGGAGGACTTCTTTCGCCGACCCGCGTCGAACTCGTTGCAGAGCCTCCGGAGGTGAACGGTCGTTTCATCGTCGCCGTGGCCGTCGCCGTCACTCTCGCTATTGCTCTCGCTATTGCTCTCGCCATCGCCATCGCCATCACCATCACTCTCGCCATCGCCACCTCCCCCGCTGCTGCCCCTGGCGGAGTCTTTCGCCAGTTCCGATAGCATTGCCTGCCGGAGCCGAACAATCTCCCGCACCGGACGCCCCCGCAGGAGTGGCATCATTTCGTCCGCAAACCGTCCTGCCTGCTCGTTTCTCCCGATGTTGCGAACCGAGCTGGATGCGGGATGATCCCACAGATAGCGAATGTAGCTCTCGTCGGGGTGCGACAGGGTTATGGAGGGGAAGACCAATCTCTCCATCCAGGGACCCTTTTTCAGGGGAGCGGTGGTGGATACTACGACGAGGACCCGGGGCGTATATCGATAATCCACCCCGTCGGCGATGCCTTCGCCACCGGGAGGGCTCGGTGCCCTGCCGTGCCAAGGGCCGTTGCCGGGTCGTGCGTTCCAGGGAGCCCGCGCTAGTCCCTCCATCCATTTGGACCAGAACCGGTCCTCGGTCTGGCAGCGGAGGCTTTCGTCTCCGGTGGAAGCAGACGCCGCCAGCTCCTCGTCGACGTCGCAAAAGTGCAGCAAACAGGGCTCCATCCGCCGGCTCCGGATGCAATCAAAGGCGGACTCGATCCCGGCGAGCTGCTGCTCGATCGTCGCCGATCCGACCGAAACGGGTGCTTCCGACCGAATGGGGCTTTTTCTCCCCTTGCGGCGCCGCCGCTCGTAGCCAAAGGCCGCCAGGCCACGGACCGAGAGGCACCGCATCCCGATCCTTTCGGAGGCCTGCTCGACGCAGGACCGGAGGCCGTGCTCCCGGTCGGTTCCGACCAGGTGCAGCACCCGGGCCGCGCCTTCGGAAGCAGCAGCTTCAACGCCGCAGCCCGCGTTCGCCATCGCCGCCGCGTCAACGTCTCCAAGCAGGGGGGCGTGAAAGAGCGCCTCGGCCACCCTCCGCCAGTCCGGGTGGGGGGGACCTCCGGCACCGACTGCGGTCGGTTCGTCGCCGGACCGGGCGAACGGGGGCAGGACCTGCGGCAGCCGCCGAACGAACGAGAAAAAAGCAATGGGCTCGCCGTCCAGCTCGAATTCCGTGTCCGGTCCCGTGATGCAGAAGCCACCACCGCGTTCGCCGCCGTCGTCCACAACGCTGCCCCCGCCGTCGCCTTCGATGCGGAGGACCTCGTAGCAGTGCAGCAAGGCGTCTCCGCTGGGACGGCCGGATTCTCCGCCATTCTCGTCTTCCCGGTGGTGCGACGGGGGAGGAACCGCAACGCCGCAGAGCGTGGATTCTTCCAGTGGCATTCCGTCGCGGGACGGAAAGATCCACGCGTCGTCGTCGTTGCTGGTGCTACTTCCTTCCGAATCGCTTTCCCCGGCCGAGGCATTGTCACCGTCGTCGCCGCCGTCATCGTGGTCTTGGTGGCTGGAACCCGCGTGCACCGGCCGCGCTGGCGCCAGCGGAAAATAGGGCCACTCGGGCCGGCGGCCGAGGGGCCGGAGGAGGACGCGGTCCGCAACCCTCGCCGCGCCACCAAAGGCCACGAGCCGGAAGGACACCGCATCCCCGGCCTTGTCGTTGTCGCCGTCGCTGTCGTTTCCCGATGCCTCCGCGGCGATGGCCAGGGGAGAGACCCCGAGGTTGGCCAGGACGACGGGCGAGACGACGCACAGGGAGGGCGGGGAATCCTTCTGACTGCGGGGGCGCTTGTAGCAGAAGTGGTGGCGATCGCTTCCGCTGCCATTGCTGCCGCGGCTTTGGTGTTCGTCCGCCAGCGACAACGCCCACGTTTCCTCCTCGTCTTCGTCCATGAGCTCCAGCCGGACCACTGCCCCGTGCAGCGCGGATTCGCTGTCGTTGTCGCTGTCGTTGTCGCTGTCGTTGCCGCCGCCTCGGTGCGCTTCGATGCGGGCGTAGTCTCCGTCTCGGAGCAAGAGCCCCATGAGGGCCTCCAGGGAGACCCTTGCGCTCGTGGTGGGTCGTCCCGGAGCGAGCGCAAAGTCGACCCCGACGTCCACGGCAACGCTTTCCCCGCGTTGGTGGCGTCCGTCCCGGCAAAAGTCGCTCAGCAGCAGCATGGGTTTGGTTTGTTCGAATGTGTGTGTGTGTGTGTACGCGATCGAACTCAATCGAGTCTGCCTGCCGAGCCGAAACCGTCAGTGCAACGGCTGGCAAGGCATGGAAAATACGATGGTCGTCAAGAACCCAGCAAGAGACCGAGCTTGTGTGGATCTAATGGAAGTGAACCCCCAAGCGATTCGGTTCCTCTTTCGTGTCCGCCGGTTGATTTATGATACCACCAGTATCGTGTGTCACGACGACTTTCTTTTGAGGACGGGATTGTTGATTGTTGATGGTGGCAACACGACAAGAAATGAAGGAGATCGAGAAACCGACAATAACAAAAATGGCCAATCACCTTACGTGGGTATGGTACGAGGGGTATGAATAGTAGTCAGAAGTCATACAATCATATCGTACAGTATCAATCACGAATCACGGCACCACGTACAAGTACTCTGGGTACGCATGGTACGTATCATACCTTTTTGACGTCGATCATCTGTCAGCAGTCGCCAAAGTTCTGCGAATCATCCCGTCACTACGACAATCGCCCACACGGAACGCGATCACGTTGATGGTTTCTGTTCCAGACACGGTCACGTTGATGGGTTCCAGAAGAAGAACAGATCTTCGGACACGAAACACATCCTCCAACTATTGTTTCGATTCGATTCGATTCGATACTCTTCCCTCTGTCGCACGTTGTCGGCATTCTCTTTCACATAAAACCGAACCGAGTGGATCGAAGCCGGGAGGAAGCGATGGATGTTGGTGGATGCGATTCCGGATGCGACGGACATCGCCACGAACACGGGCCCGCCGCAGCCGCAGAAAGCACCCCCGATCCCCGCGCTTCTCTCCCGTCCGCCCAGAGAAAAACAAAGATCCTTTTGCCGGAGGGACCGCAATCGGCATCGGAACCGGAGCCGCAACAACCTCACTCCTTCCTGGAAAGCGGCCCCGGCTCTGGCCCGCAACTGGACGGGGCCCTGTACGGGATCCTCGAGTACCTGGCGCCCCGCGATTTCTACAAGCTGGGAGCCCTGGTCGGCAGCCGGTTCTGGAGGGACCTGCTCTTTGAAGACCCCCGGACGGAGTACCTCTTTTGCGATCGGGGGCGGACCTACCTGAAAAACGTGGTCGGCTTCCGGTGGGCCGTCCTCTCGGCCGACCCAGACCCGCTCTCGGTATGGAAACCGCGATTGTTAAGCGTGAGGTTAAGCGACAGCGAAAGCGACAGCGATGGCATCGGCCGGCAACAACAACAACGGGCCGTTCTCCCGACCGGCGGCATCCGATCCCCGAATAGGGAACGGCGAATTAGGTACCCCCTCAACCGGCAACCAATACAAGAACGACAAGAACAGCAACAACAGCAGCACCTCGTTCTCAACCGCATGGGGATCCTCAGCGGTCCGGAGGAAGAAGCTTCCGTGACGGACGACACCACCGGGTACTTTGGGATCCGGTTCCTGCGGCCCGGGGTCCTGGCGGTCTGGGGGGACTACTCCGGGATCTTTGTGACGCCGGACGCCGATCGCATCCTCGATCCGAACCGGTTCTCCCGGCCCCTTTCGTTGGGGGAAAGCGGCGGCGAACACCACAACCGACGAACCGGCCACGCCGCAAGAGACGCGGGCTACCTCTTCCCGGACGACCACCAGGTGGTGGCGGTCCACTTTGGGACCCCCTACGTCTTTCTGGGCTTTGCCCTGGGCAAGATCCAGTCGATCGACTCCCGGCCGGTCGGAGGGACCCCTTGCGAAGCAAGCACCGGCTACCCGCACACCGGGGAGTCTCTCTCGCACGCGGAGGCCGGCGGAGAGGTCTCCTGCCTCTGCCCCGTGGAGGGCGGGAGGCACCTGGCCAGCGCCAGCGTTGCCCGGGACCGCAACCACCAGGGGCGGCGGGCCGGCCTCCCGGGGGTCCTGGTCCACTGGGGGGCCCTGGAGGACGGGAACCTGGACCGGGCCTCGTCGGTCCTCCCCCAAGGGGGGATCGACCGCCCGCCGGTCCTGGCCATGGCCTCGTCCTCGATCCGGTTCGCGGGCGGAAGCGAGACCGAGAGCGAGAGCGAGACGGTGATCCTGTCCATCGCGCGGAGAGATCGGGTCCTGGACCACGTCTGCCTGTGGGAGGCAGGCGGGGAAAGGGCAGGCCCCGCCGCCAAACGCACCGAAACCACCCCTCCTTTCTTCGAGCCGCTGGTCGGCGCCGCGGTGCGGGCGGAAGCGGAACACGCCCTCCGCGTCCCGGAGTTCCTCACGAGGCGGAGAATCCGGGGCGACCGGCAACAGTTTGTGTACCTCCGGTACTTTGAGAAGACCCGGCTGGTGGTGGGCACCAGCTGGGGCGCCCTCGTTCGGATCGACGCGGGGGCGGCCGGGGGCGAAAGCGGAACACGCCCGCGGGTGCTGTCGGACTGCTGCCGGGGCGGCATGGTGGAGGCCGTCGAGCTGGTGGGCCACTCCCGACCGAACGCGATGCACGCCCCCGTGATGGTCACGGCCGGGGGGTCGGACGGGAGGGTCCGGTTCTGGGACTGGGAGACCCTCGCCCTCCTCGGAACTCTCCGGATCCACCCGGGCATAAACATGGGTCTTCCGGTCGGGAGGAATGCCGGGAGGTATGCCTCCCCCGGCTCCAGATCGTGCCCCGTCGTCTCGGTCTTTTTCTGCCACCAGCGGTCCTCGCTGGTCGCCCTCTGCCGAGACGGCCACGTCCGCGAGTGGGGGATCGAAGAACCAAGGGCCGGAAGCGCAAGCGAGTTGCCGCGGGGGAATGAAAACACGGCCCCGGGGAGCCCCCGCCGGAGGAATCCCCGGCGCACGGCCCCGGAGAGCCCCCGCCGGAGGAATCCCCGGCGCAGGGTGAGGGGTTCCCCGGAGTGACGGTGGTCGGACAAAAGCACCCCCCAGCAAACAAAGGAACGAACGAACGAACGAAGGGAACGTGGAACTTGCACCGGAACCCCCAAACGAAACAAATTCCTTGCCTCCGGGGGTGCAGGAGGCTGTTGAGGCGTTGCGTTGGGTGGGAGCAGGAGCTAGAATGCGCACTAGGGCTTGGCAAACGAAACAAAAGAAAATCCTACACCTCACCAAAGAATAGAAACCAGAAACAAGGGTCGAACAACAATCTACAACACTCGTAATGTAAAAAGGAGAAGCTAATCCAAAAGTTAATCCACTCCAAAAGTCAATCCAAAAGTTAATCCAGTCCAACCGCGGGTGCACGGAACCCCGCAACGACACAACCCGTAGCGCCGTGCCAGTCAGTAACCTCCTAGGGCACCACCATCCAGGCGTCGGATCCCCCTTCTCCGGCCTCCGTTTCGTCCTCGGTCGAGACGGACACGAGGCGCCGTCGCTTGGCGACCGGCGTCCAAAGGCACGGGCACTCGTTTTCCTTGCCGTCCGGGGTTTGCCCCTTGACCGTCCCCGCGCCGCCACAAGAATGGCGCTTGGGGGCGTCCGCGTGGCAAGGGGGGACGCCTGGTGCCCCGCACCAAGACCCCTTCGCGTGCACTTCCTGCGGCCAGTCCCCCAGAAAGGCCCCCGAGGAGTACCAGGACTCTGCAAACCTCGACCGAGGGGGCCTCCCGACCGGGAGGGTCTTTACCACCACGCCGCAGGGGTCCATCGCCTCCCCTGCGACCGCCCCTGCAACCCCCCCGGCCATGGCCAGAGCCGCCGCGTCGCCCCCAAAGACCCGGCCCTCCGGGACCTCCGCCCCCCTGCGGGTGCAAGCTTGCTGCCCCTGGCCGCCAATGACGCCCCCCGTGAGCACCGCGCAGACCTCCGACCGGCAGGAGGCCCTTCCGCCCCCGTTTGCCGCAACCATGGTCGCCTTCAGGGCCCGGACCCAGAAGAGGGCCCCGCTTTGCGTGCAAAAGCCGTACGAGCTCCCGTTGGGGTTGAGGGCCGGGTAGGAGGGGAGCAGGAGGGTCTTGGTTCCGCTGTCGTGGTCGCTGCCGTGGAGGCGGTCCTCGGCCAGGGCCGAGTGGTAGGCGACCTCCTCCGCCTCGCGCTGGCTGCGAAAGAGGCGGAGCATGTCCACCGGGGGAAAGGAGGGTGCCTGGCCGCTCCCGCTGGGGTGCGGGCACCGCTGGACGGCGTAGAGGATCTCGTGCGTGAGCACCGTGCGGTGAAACGGCCGGTGGTGCGTCTCGGTGGCGGCGGGGTCTAGATCCAGATCCATCGGGGGCCTTTCTTCTTGTGTCGGTTTCCTTGTGTGTGAGGGGTGTGGTGTCTAGTGTCTAGTGTCTACCCAGTCTTGTCAATCGATTCGAAACCGATGGATGTACTGTATGGAGAATTGCTTTGTGTTTGTTTTTGTGTATGTTTCTCTGTGTGTGTGGTGGCTTTAGTGGCTACCCAGGCTTGTCACTAGAGCAGAATCCAACGGATGTGTCGAGAACGGAATGCAATGCAATCCAATCCAATAGAACAGAACAGAACAGAACAGAATCCAGTGTAGTTCCTACGGACTAAAATTTCGATCCTTTCCCTTTTCTGTTTGTTTTTTGTCTTTATCGCAAGGCACCGTACGCTTTGGCTCTGGCCTGCTAGTTAGTTCAGTGATTGCTGTAATTGCTTCTCGTGTCGTAGCAAGGAGTGTCTCGAGAAGGCTGACTGTGTATTAGTACTCGTAGTATTTGTGATCGTAATGCGAGCACGGAACAAACAGGAATGCTTTCAAAAAATAATCATCAAAAGGCATGTTGGAACGCCGCGTCGAAACGAAGCGCCTCGCAATGGAACAGATTCGATTTCCGAGCACGATTTGCGTTCGTACTCGTACGTACCCCTGCTTGCAGAGGCGAAGAAAAAACATTCGAGTCCTCGCAGCTTTAGCGTACAAGTAGCGTAGTACTTCCGGTACAGGATTCCTACGCCGCGATGCCCAAATCGAACTCGTTTATCGCCAGAAAAAGGATACGAAACTTCTTGCGGTGCTCGAACGCAGGATCGTTTTGATTGGAAGAGACCAGCATGTCAAGGGGAAAAAAGGCAACAGCCGAGGAGGAAACCAAACACCTCGGTTCGGTGCGTTTCCTCGTAGCTCAGCTGTAGCTCCCAGTAGGAAACCGAACCCAACCGAACCCTCGCATCGGAAACCTGCCCCGTGCGTGCGCTGTTCTCTTCGTGTCTGTGTCTGAGGAACAGCTGAAGCGGATTTTCTAACGAGCGGGCATGGCCAACGAACCATTATTCCGACTCGATCGACTCAGTTAAGGTCTTCGGATTGCAATAATATCTATGCATCCTATGTTCATTATGTCGACGCATACGCACGGATCCGATCCGGCACGGAATGACACGCGGAAGCTATCGCACGGGAACAACCCAGAGTCTCTTCAACTTGGCCCCGGGATTTGTTTTGTTTCGTTCGGTGATGATGGCGGTGGTGATGGGTGATGCAACCCATGGGACACACCGTACAACAACGTACGCACGGTACAAAACCGATAGGAACCCGACGGGCTTCCCAACACTTCGTTGCTTCTTTTTTCTCTGCTTGTTTTTGTTTTTGTTTCGTTCCTTCTTTCCTCGAAAACCCGACGATCGCAACCAATCCAGACAAAAAAAAAGTCCGAGCCCGGATACCAATCCACACCGGACCACAACCACCACAACCACCACAACAAGCTGCCATGAAGTTCTCGCTCGTTGCGCTGCTGGCGGCCGCCCCCAGGGCGTCTGCCTTTGCCCCCCAGGGGGCTCCCTCCCACCTTCTGTCCCCCTCGCTCTCGGCCTCGGCGGCCCCCGTCGAGGACTACGTCGACGCCAAGCTCACCGAGCACTCCCACTGCACCGAGCCCGGGGACCGCGACATTCTGGTCCGGGCCGCCCGCGGGGAGGTGACCGAGCGGACCCCCGTCTGGCTCTGCCGCCAGGCCGGCCGGTACATGGAGGCCTTCCGGGCCTACTCGACCAGATACCCCTTCCGGGAGCGGTCCGAGACGCCGGAAATGGCCGTCGAGCTGAGCCTCCAGTGCCACCGCAAGTACGGGATGGACGGGATCATCATGTTCTCGGACATTCTGACGCCCCTGCCGACCCTCGGGATCGACTTCGACGTGGTCCCGGGCATCGGGCCCGTCATTTCCACGGAGGTTGCCAGCGAGTCCGACGTGGAGGCCCTCGGGTCGGTGGAGGGCGTGGAGGCCTTTGACGAGAAGCTCCCCTTCATTCGGGAGATCCTGGGCGACCTCTCGAGGGAGGCCGAGGAGAAGAACACGGCCCTCATCGGCTTTGTCGGGTCCCCCTTCACCCTGGCGGCCTACACGATCGAGGGCAAGTCCTCCAAGCACTGCCTGGCCACCAAGAAGCTCATGATGGAGGCGGCCCGCGGGGAGACCGCCACGATGGACCTCTTCCTGGACAAGATCGCCACCATGATCGGCCACTACGCCTGCCACCAGATCGAGTGCGGGGCCCAGGTGATCCAGTTCTTCGAGAGCTGGGCCCACCAGCTCTCCCCCAAGCACTTTAACGACTTTGCCAAGCCGGCCGCCCAGAAGGCCATTGCCATTGTCAAGGAGAAGCACCCGGACGTCCCGGTCATCTACTTTGCCAACGGGGGATCCTCCTACCTGGAGCTCCAGAGGGACATGGGGGCCGACATGATCGCCGTCGACTGGTCCGTCGACATGGCCGAGGCCCGGAGGATCCTGGGCCCGGACGTTGCCGTCAGCGGGAACATCGACCCGACGGTCCTCTTTGGGTCGAAGGAACAGATCGAGCAGGCCGTCCGGGACTGCATCGACAAGGCCGGGGGGCCCGGTAACAGGCACCTCCTCAACCTCGGCCACGGCGTCATGCAGGGAACGCCGGAGGAAGCCGTCGGCTGGCTGGTCGACGAGGCCAAGCGGTATACCGGCAAGCAAGCAGAGTAAAAGCGCAAAGCGAGCGACGGGCCAAAGACAAACCACCGTCCAAACCACCGAACACCACGATCGGTTTGGAGTAAACTAGACGATAGTAGTTACTGTAGTACGTACTGTGCGTTGTAGCAACCTTGCCCCCGTGGTTTGATTTGTCGTCGGAAGCTCCCGAACGCCGCACGGAAAACCACCCGCACAGCAGGCGGCTGTTTTTCGAGATCCTTCGGTTCGGCCCACCAACCCACTCGACACAGCGCAGCGCAACGCAAATGGTTGGTGGTGGACACTCTCGGCGTTGTTGTTGCTGCTGCTGCTGCTGCTGCTGCTGCTGCTGCTGTTGTTCTCGATGGTCGTCCTCCTTTGCATCACCGGACCTTTTCGAACAGCGTTGCGACGGGACGGGACGGGACGACGGCAGATGCAAGCAGGTGGGGTAACCCGCACGGTTTCCATCTGTGTCGTGCTGGGCAGCTACGGTCGGACAGAAATGGGGAAATCCGGTCTGGCAGCAGGACCGGGAAGAAGGATTGGTAGGGGTCAAAAGGCCAGGGATTGGCAGAAGAGTGGGTTCTAATACTACTCGTTTTATTTCATGAATGGCAGGCCCGGTTGGTAATAGTAGTACTACTAGTTAAACTACTAATTCAAGAAGTCGTACAATGGTGCACTGTTTCGGATCGGGATTGTTCTTCGATGTATGGTCCTGCTGGAAGAATGAGGGCTTCTTGATTTTTCCTCCAGGTCCCACCCATTCCTAGTACTTCAATTCCCTATTCGATGGAGAGGAGCACAGATATACTACTACTACTACTAGCAGTTTTTGAATCAATTTGTTATTCTCGAGTCTTCGGAACAATTAGGATTGGGGTTACTGCTAGTACGGAGTACGTACCTGAATATCTGAAAATCGATATCTACGGTAAAGTAGGTACTACTCGTACGTACTTACTGTAGCTCTGATGTAAAATATTGAAGTCGTACAATGACTTTACTAGGTGGTAGAGTCGTACTCTACTCTACCGATTTTTGCTCTGTAACTGTTCTCTCGAGTTGTATTTGGGTATTGCAGAACGAGAAACAAAAATGATTTGAAAAACTTGAGCGTACGATCAGAACTTCAATTTTGTTTAGCGAGGCAAGTAAATACTAGTAGTACTAATCTTAGAGTAAGTAGGGTACGTACCCTACCTACTTCGTCCAAGTAAGATTTAAAGTAGTACAGTACAGTACAGTACAGTACTTCTGCTAGATTTGTGTTCTGTCTAATCCAAAATGTACGTAGAATTAGTCGTAGAAGTGTGTCCCCAGTGACACCAAGTGACCCATATGTCCGCCATCTTGAAGCGAAGACCAAACAGATGACTCGCCTTGTACGGGAGGTAACTTTCCGTCCCCAATACAGTAGATGGCTCCGTTTCTGATTCACTCGCTGGTGACATCTCATTTTGAACGACCGAAGACCTCCGAAACGAACACAAAACCACAATAAAGTCACAGCAAACCATACCAGCAAAGAAGCCACAAAAAGCACCCACCATGATGAAACATTCCACTGCTATGAATTCCGGCAAGAAGACGATCGTCGCATGTCTATGGATGGCCGTCCTGTCGATCGCATGGAGCAGCAACAACGCTGGTGTGTTTGTGCAGGGCATGGGCGAGAAGACTAGCAGTTTGCCGCTCACCGCAAACACGCCGATTTCTTGCGACGAAATGATCATCCTGCATCGCTGGGAAGGATCTTGCTGCAGTCTGAACGTCACCAACGGTGGCGGGTGCATTCTCAACGTCTTCGACGGATACTGCAACGTGAAGGGACAGGAATGGACGCTGAAATACAATTCGACGTACGACGAAAAGCCCTGCCCACCGTCGGAATTCTCTAACACACAGCTTGGCATGAAAGGAGAACCGACTCTGCCACCCAGTGGTAGCAGCAGCAGATTCACTACCAAAGCAATGGTTGTCTTGGGAGCATCGATTTTCGCGGCACTGTTGTAGTCATTTCCTGTAATGTTCTTCGCCTTCGTCAGTAGGAATACAAAGGAAGGAAATTGTAAAGGATGGCTATTGTTTGGTTCGATGTAGATCTTGCGTGAAGGAAGATGAATACATCGAACGGACTTCCAAAAGAGATGCAGTTTGCTGTAGATACTGTCGTGTTAGATTGGAATTCTTGATTTAATTAGATAGAGGAAGATCTTCTATGGAAAGATGATGCGGTTGTGATTTTGGGGCGATTTCTGTGAGGCTAATGATCTTTTTTATCAATCATTGGCAACAAGTTATCACGAGCTAGGAGTCGAATAGCGGAAAAGGCCGACGTCCTGTGGTTCTCTTCGGAGCAAGTTTGAGTGGAAAAAGTGCAGGAACAAAAATGCAGACAGGATCACTTTATTTCAGAATAAAAAGATCAGGATGGATTCAAGATTTTGTTTCAAAATCGCGAAAGCGATGTGATGTTTGGTCGATAGCAGGAGTACTAGCACTATTCTTGTCCAAGTTGTTGTAGTAGTGTGTGGATACTAGTAGTAGTACTACTAGTAGTACTAGGAGGAGTACTATTGGATGAGGTCAGTATGACACAAAAAATAAGGCAGATTGTTAATATTGAGCTTAATTTGACAGTAGTAGTAGCAATTGTAAAGAACAAGGTTGCTTTATACATAATTTGGATCACTTGTAGTACTAGTACTAATATTAGTGGCATCGAAGAAAACAAAATCACTACTCGTGATGTCGTAGAAAGATCTTCATGTTCTTCTTCTCACGACACCAGTAGTAATTGCATTAATGGAGATATGGTTAGTATCCATAGTACCAAGCTCCCGCTATTAGTAAAAGTAGTACTAGTACAGAAACTCGAATGCGATTATTATGGTGATGGAACAGGTTCTTCTTCCGTTGGACAATAGGGTTTCCCTAGTAGTCTTGAGAAGTGGCTCCGATTTTTTGTTGTTGTCGACGAAATCGTCGACAATCCCAACATATTTTCAACACTAGTTAAGCTCTTCAAGAGTCTAAAAATGTGACGCGGGATCCCCCGCTCTCTATTTCGTTCAAGTACACCACTCACATACGAGACGCATGCGCGCATCGATATCATTTCTCGTGAAATTCTTATGCCTTTTCGGCGAACAAAGATTCTTTGGATCGTAATAAAACCGTCCAGAAATTTTCGGTATTCGTTCTGATTCCACCAATGCATCAATTCCTCGGCGTACCGGACGATACGTACCGTACGGTACTGCTACGTTGAAGGTGCGACGAGTTTTGATTGTTTTATGAACTAATGAAATACATCTTGCAAGACAAGTGTTTGCAACCGTTACGACATTTCGAATGCTCTCTTTCTCAAAGCATTCAAAGGACAGGGAAAAAATACAATCTACAACACACCACGCCGGAACAAGCGAAACAGCAAAAGAGCTCAAACAATCGCCGTAGTGAAATACACAAACCACCATGCTCCGAATAGCTACAATTCTACCAGTTGTCGCTGTGGCCTCTCTGACTACGGCGGAATTTGCACTTTCCACCCATGCCGAAGGAATAATTTCATCAAATTCTTTCCAAGCAACTCGGGGTCTAAGCATCATCAATGGTTCCGGTGTGAGAGAAGGGAGAGAATTAAGTCCCGAAGAGGCCGAAGAGCCAAAGGGATCTAAGAAATCAAAGGCACCAAAGAAAGGTAAAGATCCAAAAGGAGAAAAAGGAGATAAAGGATCAAAAAAATCAAAGAAAGAGAAAGGAGCGAAGGGTGCAAAGGTACAAAAAGTTTCGAAGAAAGGAAAGAGCTTTCAATCGGAAGACATACTGGTACGTTTTCCAATTGCTATCCATTATGCGATACGCCAATTTGAAGGCAATTAATATTTTTTTGCATCTGTTTTGGATTCCAACAGAATCAACTGGACTTCATTGCTCATTATTATGTATTTTTTTCTTTCTCTGATCTTTTTTTTTCCTCGTATTATCAAACTATCTTTTTCCAACTGACATCAATTTCGTCGATACAATCCTCCAGGATTGGCTTCTCGATGACGCAGAAGGAAACGTTACTATAACGACTGAAACAGTGACAGAAACTACCGATACGGTCGTGGACGACACCGAGACAACTTCAACCGAAGACCCACCAGCAGCAGACGATTCTTCGTCCTCGACCGAACAGGAAGAAGTTCCACCAGAATCCAAATCCAGTGGTGCAGTGCGTTCGCCGTCGTTCGCCAGCTCGGTTCTTTTCACGTTCGCAGCTACTTGTGTTGCTGCTGCTCAGTTCCTATAACAGACACATTGCTTGCAAGGGTCGATTGATGACTGCGATACAGCTTGGCTGTATTCATGTATATGTATCTCGTGTTTTTCTGTCTATATGTGGATGCTTTGATGCTTGGGTTGCTCCGGATAGTCTACGCCACGTCCTGATTGCCGGGCATGGCGAGTCCCAATAGTGCCATGCTCTTGTTTTCACCAACTAGAAGCATGAGTACTTAGTACCAGCGATTCGAAATGTGAAAACGTCCATAAATATTGTAAACTTTAAATTCTATCGGCTTACAAACAATTCACGTGTTCTTTGCTTGGAGCTACTATCATTTGTGTATAAATCACTTAGAGCAGAGTAACATGTCAAGTGAACATGTCTTGCCGAAACCAGATATGCAATCCTCTGCACAACACCTCTACAACGGAAACATTCATTCGAAATGCTACTACTTTGACGACGGTGTGCGTCAAACAAATGAGACGATGGCGTAACAGAGTACAAGATCTAGAGGTCAAGCTTCCACGAAATGTTTTTTCTCTTGGTGCATCTAAATACACCCAGAAGGGCAGAGTCCAGGTTGGTAGCGAGGACAAGATATATTTTAATGGAGCAGAGTGATGCACGTGCTTATGGACACATCGTCGGTGAGATGTTTTGTTCTTTCCTTCTTAAATGAACCCCGAATTAATATTAGATAGTTGACTTGTTGGTAAGGTGCGAACTCGATTGTTCGAAATCGGTTGCGGGACCTACATGACACAGTCAGTGTCCCTTCGTCGGTTTCCGGAAAAAAAGTCGCATACCAAAACTCCTGAACGTCTTCGTTTCGATTTCCTTGCTATCAACAATACTATTGGGTCGTGAGAAATATAGAAACTACCAGTCCGCAAACCATTCTGAAAAAAACTAGAGAAAGTACAGCCCAGTTTCTCCCTTTCGTAGCCGTTCTGTTTTCTCTTGCCTCGGAATGCATGCTGCTCCCGCGTGTTCGTTCCCCCGTTCCTCAGTCCTTGTCTTCAAACGGAATAAAGTCCATCATGTTGTTGGCACCCCTCGGGATTTTGAAGACGGCGTTCTGCAGATCGGGCGTCAGGACGACCTGGCATCCCAGCCGGGAGGTCTCTTTCGGATTGTAGGCCAGGTCGATCATGTCCTGCTCGGCCTCGGACGGTTCGCCGCCCGCCTGCTCGAACCATTCCGGCTGTACCACCACGTGACAGGTCGAACACGCCATGATCCCGCTGCAGGCGCATTCGATCATCTCGCCCAGGACGTCCGCACCCTCGCCGTCCCCGAACTTGGCGACGTCCGTCAACGACTGCGCTGCACGGTGAGAACGGATTCCAAAACATGCTGCTGCCGGCGCTGCTGTCACACACACACACACACACAACGCCGAAAAAAACAGCGAGAACGGCAACAACCGTCAACACGCAAAAACGTACCATGTCCTCGAATCCCTCCACCCAAAAGGCGCGCGTTTTGTCCACCTCCACCGCCGTGTCGTCCTCGCCCTCCCTCGACGGCCAGGCACTCGCCGGCAGCACCCAGAAGCCCACCGTCGTCTTGCCCCTGGACCGGGCCAGCTCGACCGTGACGCTCTCCACCAGGGCCTCGAGGCCGGCGTCTTCGTCGACCTCCCACCGGCCGGCCAGGGAGCGGACCATCGACAGGAGGGCCGCGTCGCCCGAGACGCCCGACTGCCTCAGGGCGTTCAGGACGCCCTCCGCCACGTCTCGCTCGTGGCCGAGCGTCCCGACCAAAAACGCGAGGGCCTTTGCCTCGGGCTTGGCGGACGGATCGGCGTCGCCTCCCTTCGCCATGCTCGAGCGGGCCATGTTCCGGCGCTGCTGCTGCTGCTGCTCGGGGTGGCGGTCTGCTTCGGCAAGGCGGCTGCCGTTGTGGTTGTTGTTGTGGTTGGCCACTCGCGGCACCACAGAGAACGAGCGCGTGGAGCAATGGTTGCTGTTGTGCCCCCGCTGCAGGAGCGTCGCCGGAAGGTTCTTTTTGTCAGAGGTGCCGGAAGCATTGCCGCCGCAGCTGTTGTGGCGATGCTGCTGGAACAACGCTGGGTTGACCGGCTGCCTTTGGCGGCGGATGAGTAGCTGGGATGGATTCGGCAACCGTTTTGCGACACCGTTGCTTCCGCAGCACCTGCCGCTCCCGCTGCTCGTAGCCAAGGCTTGCCTCACCAAAAACATATTTTCGTTCTGTTCTGTTCCGTGCGCACGAGTCGGTTGCCAAAGGATTGTTTGATAAGTAGCACCACTCTACGGCAGCCCGGTTTCTTTGACAGAGTCGCAAGTCCAAAACAAGAACCAAAGAGTATGTTTTATGGAAGTTCTTGGGAAGATTTTCGTTAGATTAAAACGGTGGAGAAAGTGATTTTTATGTACGAAGCATTACGCTACTTCTACTCGTACCGTGTGTGGTACTGCTGGTGCAGTAAATCACTCACCGTACAGCACTGAAACATGTAAGAAATGAAACAAGTTCAGTTTTTCTAGACTGCTGACTATAAAGTTCAGTATTACTACATCACACACTGATGACATCATTGTAATTTGATGAAAAGGACTAGTAGTAGTTCATGCTTCTGCAACGATCAATTTCTCTCTCCTCTTGTGGTCAACTTGTTCTTCTTCTTGTTGTTGTTCAATTAGTGTTTGAGCAGGAGTACTAGCTACTTCTTTCGTCTTCCTTGGCAGTCAGAGTATACCAGAACCTTGGATTGCTCTTGATTATCATTGCCCTTGTTGCTACTATAAATTGCATGGTCTAAGTCATTGAATAGTGCTTGCCCTGTGGTCTATGACAAGCATTCCTCCCCAGGTATATTCGTTGGCGGTGTTATCATTTCCGCCCTTATTTTTTTCCAGAAACCTGGCTCGTGGGGAGTTATGGATCGATTTGGGGATTTTCTTCCTCACTCCAGCAACATCAATCAACATCTTATGAGCGCAATGGATAGACAGAAAAACCACAATGTTGTGATCTTTGGAAAACAGGTAATACTCAGCAGATATGGCATTGGGAACACTAGGCAGTAACAGATTCATTTCAAGGAGATTGCGATTGACATGCTTTAATGAATTACAAAATCAACAAGTCTATAATAGGAACGACAGGGGGTGTTCTCCGGTATACGGTTGTGAAAATTCCAATGTGCCACGGAAGAATCAAGTCACGGACAATGATCGAAAAAGATAGCGTCAACGCCCTTCTATTGTTGCTTCGTAGTTCCACATTCTGCGCAGCCTAAGAGGAAGCCTTGGCTGCGGCGACACGTGCAGCAACAAAGGCTTCAAACTCTTTGCAGGCACTGAGAAGCCCGGATTGGCTCGAGTCGGAAATAACGTGGTCACCGTCCACAAACTTGACAGTCATTGCCAAATCGAGAGGTTCTTCCCCGTCCTTTTCCTCGGCAGAGGATGCCTCGCATTTCGATATCATCCCGTCGTATTCTTTTCGTTCCTGTGCAATGTGCTCCTCGAGGTCTTCCTTCAGGGCATCTACCCAATCGTCCCCACTGAGTTCTTTCCCGGTGAGGTCCTTCACAATTTGTAGAAAGGGTTTCGAATTACCGCATTTCCAATAGGATTCTGTAAGGGTGGGACCCACATTTGGATTGTCAACAATGTATCCGTACTTGTCTTTAAAATACTTCCTGGTCTGATGGACCGACATTTCAGCAAGCTGTAGATTGAACATTTTTCGTTTGCAACAATACCCGTTTTAGATTTCCAAACATGCAGACATATTTTTCAGCAGCAGCAGCAGAAGCGACAGGTCAGCACGACAATGAAGCAATTCTCGACCTAAAAAAATATATTGATATGAAAATGGCACTCGCTACAAAACAAACTCTTTTGGCACGCACCGTGTATCCCTGATAGTAGCAACTCGCTTCGTCACTGACCAGGTGGGGGACGCTCAAGAGAGGCCTGGCACCCAGTCCTCCCTGGATCCGGATCTCTACCTCATCGGCCAGACTCTGGACTTTTTCCGCGGTAAGTTCGGCCTCGGGGAGTTCATAGAGCGCCTTTTCGAAATACGAGACGGAAAGCATGGCACGCAGCTGGAATACCGCAAAGGGGTGCTTCGCCCGGATGTCCTCCTCGATGATCGCAAAGGGAATCGGTGTGCCCTGCAAGTCCTTGGCGTATTTGGCCCTCCAGGCAGAATCTCCGACGAGGGAATCCAAAAACATGGATTGGTTCTCGGCGTATGCGACGCTCGTCGGCGCCCGCTCCTGGCTGAAGAGCGGGCTGGGCTGTGCGATGTTGGCAAAGTGTGCGGCGTGCCCCGCCTCGTGCATGAGAGTGTTCAGGGCCGTGAGGCCGCTGCCGACCGCGGCCGGATCCGCCAGGCTGGTAAAATTCGTTTGCGATGGAACATGGGTTCCGTCCGGTTTGATCCAGGCAGGGACCGGCCAGTGACAAAACCCGTTGCTGTACTTGTTCTTGCGGTCCAGCAGATCCAGCGTCATGGTCGCGTTGGAGTATCCAATGTTCATGGCAGCGTAGGATCGTAGGTAGTTCTCGACAGATTTGCTAAAGGGGAAGTAGGGATCCTACAAACGGCGATAACCAGTGGTAGCAAGCATGAGAACCGACTTCACAGGTGTTCTCTATATTTTTATTTCTTTCCGCTCTCTGGATTGACATGCTTCAATAAAAGTAACGATATCCGATGACCCAACAAACAAGACACACAAGGCAGACTCACCATTTTCTTCACAACGGACCCCGCCATCATGTAGCTCGTATTCCATGGATCCAGAGCCTTCACTCCGTGCAATTCTTCTAGGTCTTTCCTTGCCTTTGCCATGAGTGGGCGGGTTCCTTCCTCGAGGCCGTCCAGTATCTCAAAAAGCTTGGACTTGGAGAAACCCTCGGCATTCGTGACGGTGTAGTCGTAGTAGTCTTCGAATCCCAGCAAGTGGGCGAGCTTGTTGCGAAGCCGAACGATCTCCAAAAAGCCGTTCGAGCAAACAAAGGCACCGATGGATCGGAGTCCATCGTAAGCCGACTTGCGAGTGCTTTCCGAAGGAGCGGTTCGAAGCACGGTCCGCAATCCGACCGAGGAGGCTTTAATGAATTCTCCCTCCTCGTTGGTGTATCCCAGGGTCATTTCATTCCGAGACTTTTCCAGGGAACCTTCGATTTTGTTCGTCTCTTCTCGTACCGCCTTGGATTCGGGTGTTGGAAACTCATTGCAACGGCAAGTGCGAACGATGACATCCAGAACCTTCAAGACCTCCTGGACATCCTCTCCCTTGGCGTTTGCGAGAGCCTCCTGTTGTTCTTTTGCTTCTTTGATGACCGCTGGGTCCGAAAGCAGATCTTCCATCTCTGCTTTCGTTTTCGTTAGAAGTTCGGTGCTGTATGGAGATTCCTCCGTAGACGAAAGCGCCATTTTTGTTCCCCAGAATTGGTTCTCGAAGGCAACATGTTTCTCTTCGTAAGACCGGTTGAAGTTGTCAACAAAGGCTTGCGCCTTGTCTCGTGCAGATAGTGTTGTTGGCGATGCCATTCTTGTTGTAGTTTTGATTGTGTGTGGTTATTGACAGTTGTAAAACTAAGCCTAAGTGCAGCGGAGCCTAGTCAACGAATATCGCGATGACTGGCGAAAAAAATCTCACCCGAAGGAGTCCGTCGCAAGTTCTCAACCTTGCATATCACGTTACGTAGTATGAGTACCAGTACCAACTGAACCCAACTTCCAAAAGATCACTCAAAAAAGATACGTACGTACCAACCGGACGACAAGATCGAGCTATCAAAATGGTACTGTACCGGTACCGCATTTTTGCAACCGATATTGGGTGATTCCCGCAAACATATTAATATGTAAAAATGAGACCGGCCGGCTCGAAAAAATATGTAAATTACATATTTTTTATTTGGAATCCTTGACTTAACCATATCCAGTCTCGTTTAGTGAAAATCCCAAAGTTCCTGCCACTTTGGAATTTTTTCAAATTGCATGCAATTTATACAGGATTCCAAATTCCAAAAATGGGGGGAAAATATGTAAGTTGAGCTGGAAATCTGTGTCTTCTGTACCACTGAAACGTATTCCMGAAAACATATCTCGAAATATGTTTGCGGGAATCACCCATATTGCAAAACATTCAAAATTGGTGCGTAACGTACTAAGGCTCTAGTACTCTTACTGGACCCACTCTATTTACCACCGTACTCACATATTCTACATATTTTGTGGTAGGGATTCTACTGTGCAACCATATTAGCTCTTCCGTTTTGGTTGCATCCGTACCTATTTTGGTTGCAAGAAAGAGTCAATTTTGTATGGAAAATGCAACCGTTTTGCAACTCCCACAT